TTGATTTTTTATTCACATAATGAATTTTTATTCACACCAAAAAATAGAAGATTTACTGTTATGCAATACTGTAATAATTGTATAAATATCATCACCATATTTGTGAATGGTATATTAGACCCACCAGCTGACGTGTATTAGATGTGTGAGGTCGTTTGTTTACTCTTGAATATCGGCAAAAATTTAACATTTCCGCTACTTTGAGCTCAGTTTCAAGCCATTTCCAGTGCTAAAACCAATCAAAATCATCTCTATTTCTGTAATATGTCTTCCATTCTATCAAATGAGACCAAGAAATCGCAAATACAACTATAAAAAACATACAAAAAAACACTGCAAAGTTGCTGTTTTAATCGAAAAATCATGATTTCAGTTTTTTTCTCTCATTATACACAGTGTGCTGCAGGATATGTTTTATGTGGTGCACACATTCCACATAGATGTATTCTCTCATATCTAGGCCCAAATGTACCACTCACAGTTTATCAGAGTGAGCTGAGCTCATGGCGTAGATCTACGGTTTGGACACTCACCGTAAAGCCGTAGATCTACGGGACGGACCCTGAAAGGGTTAAACAACACTTACTGAAAAAGCAAAAGAACAATTTACTTTAAATGAACAACTTAAAAATTGCACTAAGAGTGAATTTGTTCAATGAAACATGAAAAATAATAGGTGCAAAAACACAGAACAAAAAAAGTTTGAACACTTACAGTGATGCAGAACTCAACACATCAACATAAACATGATACTAGAAATTTCTAGCTATGAAACTTCATGTGTGAAAAATTTGTAAAAAATTAATTTTCTTGCTTGCACAAAACAATGGCACTATTGTCTGTGGAGATAAGACAAATTAGACACTGGCTAAATGAAAAGAATTAACACAAAAATGTTCAACACACAGAGAGAACAAAACAAGAATACACAAATGCTGGGAGGAAAATATAACGACAACACTGAGTTGTGATGCAGAATACAAGGTAATAAATTACTGAATTACTTCACTGGAATACTGAGAACACAAGGTGATTCTGAAGTGTAAACACAAGTTCTATACTGCTCATATGTTGCACACACAACAAAGGAAAAACACTAAGGTACTTACTTCAAGTGTATAAAAAAAGAAACACAACACAACAGGCATAAAATAATAGCACGAAAATTAACACTGAATTAAGAAGGGGGAAAAAAAAAATATTGCAATCAGTATATAATAAACACTGAGTCTAATCAAGAGTTACTGAATGTCACTAAGAAATCACTGGAAACAAAAAGAAATGTCTCTATGAAAAATATTATCGCTGTAACGACTTGGTCAAGAATGAGGTGGAAGGTGGTGGATGGTGGTGGAGGATGTTTATGTCGTCTTGCGGCTGGCTACTGTCCTCTGCACACGTGATCGTAGAATTGCGCTTACATCGACGATAGACTTCACACAGGAGGCTTTCAACGGTGGCGCCACTGACGAAGACACACTCTAGCTCTTGACCCCCTATGTGGTCCTTAAAATATGGTGCTAGCTCCCATAATAAGAGTACAACAGTGGTAGTGGTTGGGTGAGTGGGCTGAAGCAGAGCTGAGGCCGGGCAGTGGTGAGTGGCCTATGGGATGAACGGTGTAAGCCTCACTGGGGACACCCTCACTGGCGCGAAAACACTAAGCCGGCTGGCTTAAAACAAACCCATGAAATACCACAACACCACAGGGATGAAAAAGCACTCAGAATGGCTTGGAGCTTGAAACACAAGCGATGAAGACTGTACCCACGTGGTTTGCTTGAGTACTGGGTTAGTTGCTGGCTGTCTTTGCTTAACCCTTCACACAGAATGGCTCGATAACTTCTAACGATGAGCAGAGCAGGGGTGGAAAGCTGCTTGGCAGGCAAAAGCTGGAATGGTGTAGGCTAGGCTGACTGACTCCCTCACCACAGACTGGTTGCTGGCTTATTTTACAAACTCAGGTCAACCCCTCAGGAGTGATGCAAATAAGCAGATAAACACTAATACAAAGAGACTGACCAGTGAATAATGTAGTGGCTGGTAGACGCTTGACTGAGGTAGCTGGCTGGCTTGCTGGCTGGGGTAGGTTGGCCTACTGGCGACAGTCGTGCTGGTCGAAAGAAATCTCCGTACATCGGCGTAATTATCAATTTTACGCCCACACCGCTGTCACCAAAATGTCGTGTGGGGTTCGGTAGGAGATTTTAGGGTTGAATGTAGACACACTTGTTGGATGGTAACGCTATATTGTCAGACTGTGGTAAGAGGTGGAAGCCCAGGCCTGCCTGCTCGCCTGTCTATGTCTATCCGTCAAGTGAGGAAGAGGCAGCTCGTCACTCACTCACGCTGCATCCGGTGACGTCATACAGTCACTCGGCCTACTAGGGATCTTCTATATAAAGCACATGGATGGTACTATAATATGCTATACAACACATATAAGGTGATCAGCAACTATGCTGACAATTCAACCAAACTCATAGCTATTTCTTTAGAACTCCATTTGTTCTATTGATAGAGTACAAGAAACTGCCCACTTACTAATTTCAACTAACAATAAAGTGGTCAGAAATTGGCAATTTGGCCAGTTTCACGCAAATTGAAAAAGATGCCAATTTCAAAATAGGATCCAGAATAAACAATGCAGACATTCCTGGCACTAAAATAACATTTTTTCTGTTCATTAGTCACATCTCCAGGCCCCTCCTATATTACTTTTGCTTTCTATTTTGAATTTTTATTCACACAAAAAATGAAAGAGTTACTGTTATGCAGACTACTGCATTATTGTAATAATTGTATAAAAAATATCAACCCATTCGTGACTGCATATTAGACCAGCCAGTTGGACACGTATTGGATGGTGACGTCATTTGTTTACTCTTGAACATTGACGAAAATCAAACATTTCTGCTACTTTGAGCTCAATTTCAAGGTTCTTTTTATCGTGAAACCAATCAAAATCATTTCTATTTCTGTAATATATCTTCTATTCTATCAAATGAGACCAAGAAAGCGAGAATACAACCATAAATACTATACGAAAATACACCTCAAAGTTGGCGTTTTAATTAAAAACATGGTCGGATTTTTTTTTATCATGCACTGTGTAGTGCAGTATTTTTTTTATATATACTACACACACTGACCACACAGACCCATTCTCTCACATGTGGGCCTACCAGCTTTCTCCTGCTTGATTTGACTTCGCTAGAATTTTGGCGCATTAATACGTCAAAAACACTGGCTCTTAAGATGTGTATAATACAACACTGACAGTCAAAGGTTAATTGTTATAAATCTTTGAAAAATATTACTTTACTATGTAAATTTGTCAGTGGGCATGCTCTGTGAAATTCTTGATCTTGCGAGGTTCATAATGTGAAAAGGACGAATATTTATTTATACTATTTTTATTAACACATTGGCCGATTCCCACCAAGGCAGGGTGGTCCGAAAAAGAAAAACTTTCATCATTATTCACTGTCTTGCCAGAGGGGTGCTTTACACTACAGTTTATAAAATTGCATCAGTAATACTGTACTCCTCTTCAGAAGCGTATAAGTCACTGTTAAATATACGTAATACAGTTTACCCGAAGTCTGGATTGACAGTGATTGTCAGTAATCTGGTTTTTATCAGTAGTCGGGCATAACTTAAACGCAGGTATTCCAGATGACTGTAATGTATCCAGAAGTGAATTAAATTATTGCTTTATTAAACTGAAATAAAGGAAATGAGGAAATACAGTATTTTTTCCTACAAACACACCGGCCGTATCCCACCAAGGCAGGGTTGACTTAAATAGAAAAATGAAAGCTTTTCTTTTTAAATTTAGTAATTTATATATGAGAAGGGGTTAGTAGCCCCTTGCTCCCAGCATTTTAGTTGCCTCTCAAACACACACGACTTACGGAGGAAGAATTCTTTTCCACTTTTCCATGGAGATATGAGGAAATGAATAAGAACAAGAACTCTTAAGAAAATAGAAGAAAACCCAGATGGGGTGTGTATATACATGCATGTGTAGTGTGACCTAAGTGTGTAAGTAGAAGTAGCAAGATACTATACCTGGTATCCTGCATGTTTATGAGACAGATAAACAAGACACTAGTAATCCTTCCATCATGTAAAACAATTATAGGTTTCTGTTTCACACTCACGGGGTAGGACAGTAGTACCTCTTCGGGTGGTTGCTGTCTACCAATCTACTATCCAGAAATAACCCATGGTATAATGGTCAAATTGGGGCTGTTGCAAGGGGAAAAGAAACGGTGGGGTTTGCCTGGATGTTAAAGGGCTCCTGATCCAAGGAATTGAAGCTATACTCTGTTGTCTTAGATCAATCCTGATTACCTCCCAGTCCCCAGGTGCTGTTAAACCCTTGTAGGTTTAGCACTTCCTATGAATTTAATAATAAAGGATGTCCGCAAAGTTTCCTTTCAGTTTTTTTTTACATTAAAATGTTGATGTACATAAACTATATGAAAGGTGACCTAATAGCTTTTATACAACTTGATGATTGTCTAATCTCAGCAACATCAACATGTGATCACCTCTAGTGACCCATATGACACATAACTGATACTGCACTTCATTCCACGTACTGGTTAATACACAGGTGTGACTTTCATGATGCCATCGTTTATTCTGATGCAGTGTTTTAATAATCAGCTATTGGTGTCTGAAGAACATATCTTTCATGAACCCCATCAAAAAATAGTCTAAGGACATGATATCAGGGGAGAGTGGTCACTATTTGATTGGGCCATCATGTTAACCCATTTGCTGGGAACTTCATTTTGTGAAAATTGTGCAATCGTATGCAGAATACTGCTCTTTCATATATTATACGTATAATAAATTCTTGAAATTGGGAAGGGACTTTGAGGACACCCTGCATAAGAATACGTTAATATGACTTAAAGCTTGTAATTGTCAGTTCAGTAATAGCAACCTTTCATCACAGTTTGCTTTAAGCTGTACCTCATTTGCAGGAAACACAATGACAAGCATGACTAAAGTGGCTGAGGAGGTACGGGAACTGTACCTAAGCAAGTTTGAACAGGTGACTCCATACATCTGCAACGCCATGTCTCCTCGAGTTCTCCTACTCCGCCTCAACTCACACATGATAGAGCAGTACACCAAGGAAATTGGAGGGTTTGTTTCTCAAATTTATTTTGTGAGCACCATGCTCCACTGACCACTGTATAGTTGGCTGTAACTTGGGAACCTTGTGTGCATTATAATTCATTAACGTTTAGGCATTTTGTTGGAAGTTTATAATAAATAATGATTGCGTCCTCAGTGGTCGTCTTGCTATCCAGAATCGTGATAAATTGAGCCTTTCACCAGTTTAGACATTGGTTTTACTAAACTTGCTCACTGCCGACAATTTCTGTGTAATGCTTAGATGTGTTTACAGCTTCTCTACATCTGAAATGTAAATAAAAATCGTATGCATAAAATATATTGTTGTGCGGTACTTCATCATCTTGTTACAACACCTCGTAAGCCAAAACATTGGGACCAAGACCATTTTGAAATTAGTTTCTCTAATTCAGCAACCCAAAAAGCCTATTGGAAATCCTCAAAAAATAATGTTTAATGCATTCTTATCTTGTATATGTACTATGCTGTTTACACCTGTTTAAAGTACAGTATACAGTATTGTACGTTAGAAAATCCAACATTCTTGAAGTCTTGCTTCAGGAATGTTCTGTTCATTCAAGTTTTGTTGCTACTGCAGTGTACACCAGTGTTGTTCTAAACCAACTGATGTGAAATGTTCACTGTCTTTACTGATAATGATCTTGTGATCTCAACCTAATTGTAGCATGTGGTTGAAGTCTTCTCGGCAGAGTTGTGCTCCCCTTTTGCTGCTGTTAACCATATTTCTAACATGTTACCTCACTATTTATTGCTGTCTCAGACTCCTCAGTGCATTGTAAGCCATTCGAACCTTTCATCCCTTGTATTCCTGTTCACATTCAGCGTTGACTGTGCTGCACCTTTAGTTGACATGAAAAAGTTTTTTTTGTTGGATTACTGTATATATGAGAGTTTGGCAAAATGAACTTGCAGATGCTTAGCTCATTCCATAGTTCAGGATGTTTCAGTTTCCCAATGTGCTGGATATTTCAGTATCCTACTTGCATTTGCCTTTCTCCAGCTACTTTTCAATACTAACTTGATTCTTGCTAGATTGTTGGCAGGGCCATTGGTCCCAGTGGCACATTGCAAAAATAATGCTGCAATAATCAAATGACACTTAGGCTTTTGGATTATGCTGAAGTATGAATATTAATAAATATTTGTCCTCTCAAGGAGAGGTCCCTTTGATGCTGGCAAGGGTCTCTCAATACTTGGAATTGGGCATATCCTCTTATGGCTCAAACCTGATTCCTCCCATTTCCCCAGGAGCTCTTTGACAATTGTAGATCAAGTACTCCTCCCATGATTGTAATACAGTAATGTTGAGTGTGTCTGGGCTATAGGAATAATTCACTGGTTCACCTACCTGGAGGTCGTTCTGAGAGTCAATGCCTCTGCGTTCCAGGCCTTGATCACTCACTGCTCTGGTTTCCATAAATTTTTGGAGCAACAAAAGTGGCATAACAGGAAAAGCATAAGATAGTGTAATTATTAAGCATATAAAGAATTTCTTGTATACTAGATATATACAAAGAGTATAAAATAAAAAAAGGGGGGTTTTGAAAATTAAAGAATTATAAAATGCATGAAATAACTAAATTTAACATTGCTAAAACCAAATCATTTATATGTTGGTACAGTACTTCTTTATTACTGCAGTTAATGATAGGCTTCAAAGCAGTTCCTGGTGTCTGATAGGCAGTGTGTGACCAAGCACACCTTACACAGCCAAAATAGTGATGTACAGAATTTTCAGGTCTGGAGCAGAATATACAAGTCGGCTTCTTCTAGAACTGTGGAGAGTTACACTGACATAGTGTACCTTATGGAATCTGGAGGCAATGTATCTTTTTGTTCCAGCTTTGTTTTTGGTGTAGCTGCTGACTTTGCCCCATCTGATACTGGATGACCTGGTTGGCTTCTGTAATCTTGCTGATGAAGCTTTTGAGTGACAGTTTCTCCTGTTGAGGGTGGGGGGACTTCAAGTCGCACTTGAACAAAAGCTAAGAGCTGCAGATGATGATGTCAGGTACATAGTTGCATATTCCCTATTCTGGACCCTCATAGGATTGAACATGAAACAAAATGACAGTGAGTGTGAAATAAAATGAAAATGGGGAAACAAAGAAACTGTAAACGGTCCAAACTTATATATACGTTCACTACCGTACTGCCCCAACTTTTTTAAGAAAAAAAAATAGTTGTTTTTTAATAGGAAAAAAGAGCATATGGTGCCCAGGCATCTCCAATTATTTTAATATGGCGCACAGTGAGTGCTCACACCCATTCTCTCATGTCTAGGTGACTCAGGCTTATTGTGGCAATGTTAAATGTATGACACATAAAACGTATATATACGTTTGGGGCACTAGCGTTAAAAACGTATATACAGTGGACCCCCGCATAACAATCACCTCCGAATGCGACCAATTATGTAAGTGTATTTATGTAAGTGCGTTTGTACGTGTATGTTTGGGGGTCTGAAATGGACTAATCTACTTCACAATATTCCTTATGGGAACAAATTCGGTCAGTACTGGCACCTGAACATACTTCTGGAGTGAAAAAATATCGTTAACCGGGGGTCCACTGTATACGTTTGGACCGTTTACGGGTTAAAAAAGAAATGTAAAATTTAAGGCTGAAATTTAAATGCCAGTCATGCCCTGGGTTAGATCCCCCACCCATTCTGTGATTTAAATGCCAGTCATTTAAAAGGTTAAAATGCAAAACATCAAAAAATGAGATATTTAAATACTTTTTTGCTTCACTAGTCGCTCTTCACTCTGTGGTTTCCCCTCCTTGCTTATGAAAGATATGAATGGTTATTTGTAATATGTAATTTATGCACTTCTCATTATTTACACTAAATTAAAAATATTGAACATGTTTGTGTTGGCACTTTTCATGAAAAAATGTCTGTCAGTCAGACCCAAATAAACCTCTATTTCTTCAGTGTCAGGAATCAGTTATATCACTTTCAATGATTTATTCCAAAAACCTCATACAAGATTTGCATGGTTACCAGTATAATAATAATAATTGTTTCTTTATGTTGTGCAAATAATGTAGTTTCAATGTACAGTGGTACCTTGACTTTCAAGTGCTCCTACTTACAAGTTTTCCGAGTTATGTGCCGTGGTTCAGTCGATATTTTGCTTTGAATTGCGAGCCAAAATCCGAGTTACAAGCGAGCTTCAGATACACTGCCACTCGCAGGAGATACCGAGGAAATATTAAAAACCTCAATAATAACCAATGTGTAACTTCCTTTCAATTTTGATACCACTGGCAGTGTCATCCTGCCAGAATGTTCTATAACGTATGCCCTAAGTAAAGAGAAACAATTCCGGAACGTGTAATACATGTTTGGCAGGTGATTTGCTTTGGCTGTTTCTATTTCCTTCTGTATCTATCTGTCTCTGTCTATCTGGCAACTGTCTATCTCTTTGTCTCACAGGTACACATAAATACAGTTATACATATTGTAAATTACCTAGGATAACCAAAAATATTCAGACAAAGTGCTACACTGTGCTTGTAGATATAAGGCATAATAGGCAAGTAATACACATTTTCACTTGTTCAGGAATCAGATGTGACAACTCTGCATCGTGTGTAATACCTGTTGGTTCATGAGCAGCTCTCTCTCTGAGACAGAGAGACAGGAGGACAGAAACACAGCCAGACAGAAAGACAGATAAACATAGAGCTACACAGACAAACAGACAGAAGCAAACAGATAGACATGTTTATGTGTAACAGTGTAAAATAAAGCCAAGACAGTGCACGATCATCAAATGTCACCACTGCTCCACTGTCAACAGTGGAGTGACATTCATCTTACACCATCCTTCAAGGAGTTTCATATATACTCCAGCATTTCTAAAACATTTGCTGGGACCTGGCAAAAAAGGCAAAATAAATACACTTTTCTTATTTAAAACCCCATAACAAACACATTGGGTGCTTTTTTTGGTGGCTGGAACAGATTAAATTGCATTTCAGTTAATTTTATTGAGGAAAATTGATTTGATATACGAGCAAATTGAGTTACGAGCTGAGTCGCGGAACGAATTCAACTCATAAGTCAGGGTACCACTGTGTTAGAACAATAGTAAGCAAATAAAGCTGCTAATTACGCAATGTATTTCAGGCAACTAATCATAAGGCTTACATGCTACTAAAGAACAAGACCTAGCCTATCATGTAGGACCTCTTGTGTAGTTAACGACAATCATACCTTTTGAAGATTGAGAGAGACAACATATGGGAATCTTTATTGAGGAAATGTTTCATCACACAGTGGCTTCATCAGTCCAATACAAATCAGAAGGGTGTAAGGAGAGGGGGAATTTGAGGTAATCAGTCCCTCAGTCTGGAGTCGATGTATTCAGTCCATCAATCTTGTAGAAAGTACTGATTGGTGGACTGAACACATCGACTCCAGGCAGAGGGACTGATTACCTGAAACTCATCCTCTCTTACACCCTTCTGATTTGTATTGGACTGTTGAAGCCACTGTGTGGCTTCCCATATGTTGCATAAGTCTCTCAATCTCCAACTTGTCGGTTTTTTAAACCATTTACCACAGTCATACCTTTTATGTACCTTTGAAGAGTTTCGAAAGTTTCACTACTCTCGGAGCCCGGCCATGGGCAAGGTTCATCTGGTGCTTGCCTGGTCAACCAGGCTGTTGCTGCTGGAGGCCTGCTGCCCCACATATTCATCACAGCCTGGTTCATCTGGCACCTGGTAAAGATACTTGTCCAGTTTCCTCTTGAAGGCTTCTACACTTGTTCCAGCCATGTTTCTGATATCTTCTGGTAAGATATTGAATAGTCTGGGACCCCGGATGTTGATACAGTGTTCCCTTGTCCCCACCACACCCTTGCTCCTCACTGGGTTTATTTTGCACTTCCCCCCATATCTTTCACTCCAGTATGTTGTTATGGTAGTGTGCAGATTTGGGCCCAGGCCCTCAAGTACTTTCCAGGTATATATTA